TGCGAACAACGAATAAAAAATTGGAGAATTGTTGTTGTGAATGTTGAAATTGATGAATTCCAACCGTAAGCAAACATCATTTTCAGCTGGTCTCTCATCGTCCTCTTCGTCATCATCAAATGCCACTTCTACAGCACGGAACAGCAACGATCGTTCACGTGACGAGTTTGCACTTCCGAGTCGTGCAACCTCTTTGTCAGGCCGTTCATTCCAGTCTCAGGTCAGTTGCGAGCGATATCTGTACTGCTTCCGTGAAATCCTAACAATGCACTCATAGGATATTGCTCAGAGCTGTAGCAAACTGCTTCACTCTCTTATAAGTTGTTCGAGAGTGTGGTAATGTTTTGAAGTTCGAAGACTATCTCAAAAGTTGCTGCTGGTATGAATAATTGTAACGTTCATTATGCTTACAGGCTGTTCAGCAAGCAAATGATTTCCTGGAACTAATGGCTAATGGAGAAGCCCTCAATCTAGGCCTTAGTAAGTTGTCTTTCCCCATTGCTTTCTTCTGGTTAAACCGTTATGATGCCTATTAGGAGTGCCGAAAACGATATTAAGGAGAGAGCTAAAAAGATATTGCGAGCGATTTATGTTCAGCAATTTTGAGCAATTGTTGACTGCAACTGTTCGCTTGTCGTACCGAATGTGTCTTGATCAATCTACTCATACTTTATAGATGGCTATGGTATTGGTAGTACAATGTTCCCGAATATGGCCAATCCACCACAACTGTCAGTGGTTTATTTGCGTTGTCCAGAGTGTGGAATCGGCAAAACGAGTAGTGAGGAAATGGAGGTATATATGCTGGATATCATTGATAATCTCAATTGTCTTTCAAAAAATCTCCAAATATTCACTGCATGTCTGAAAGTTTCACTCAAACTCAGTGGTTTGTCCCTGTTCACGGGGTGTATCGTTCAACGAGATTCCGTTTACTATTTCCTCTAGCATCCATCAATTCCGTACGATCATTAGAAAGCGTAAAGGTGATGCGTCATTCGATCTGCACTGATATAACTTTGATATTATAATGTATGTGAGGAACATGAATGATGTATAATTTCAAGGTATAATTTCGAGATGTGCTTGCAGGTTCATATCAAAATGGAGCATCTACAGTGGTTACCGTTCCAATGTCCAATATGTTCTGCTGAACGTGCATCCGATCTTCAAATGCGTGAACATATCCACTCATCTCACAGAAAGAATTCAAATAAGGTCCATTTGTGTGCCTCATCCTGTGTATAGTATCTCGATGTACCGTTAATACACCGCCGATCTCGTGAATCCAAATTTTAAACAATTCACTACCGTGAAAGCAATCAAATTTCAAATCACGACCGAAGCGTGCTTATCCGTCAACTTTGATCAGAGTTTTGAATAAGCGGAAAGCCTATTCGCTATTTGCTACTAAATGGCGATGTTGAAATGCGACATGTTATTGTCTTTCAGTTTATCTACGTGGACAATCCGAGTGCGAAACGTCTACTGCAAATTCTAATGGATCGTAGTTTATCGAGTGCACGACGTCCATCTTCGACGCAAAACGGTCTGGCACAGTTGATTGGTAGCTCTAGTTACGGTAGTAGCGATTCATCTAGTGCCAATGGGAGTACAGGAACAACGAATCGCGAGCGACCGCACACAAATGGCTCTGAAGAAAGTGTAAGCTTAGAGATACTTTCAGTTTCTTTCGATTCTTTTATCCGTACAGGCGTTGTTATCTATGTTATCTAAGTATGTCCACCGGTGATATCAGATAAGATCACAAGCGAATCGTTGTTACAATCAACGGCTAATGCAGCAGTGGGTTTTTTCTTCAGCCCTCTTGACCTATTAGTTTCACTCTCATTGAAGATCTGATAGAGTGGTGTAGACTTTTCGATACGACAGTGTTTCGAACCATGTATGACATCTTGATGCAATGAGACAGCGTTTTGCATCTCCATCGAATTCGTCATCGTTTGACGTTGCGTGCTTTCAGCGTTCTCAGCAACAGGAAGGAGG